GCTTACCCTTACCTTACCACAGTTGTTGTGATTTGTGTTATTGTCACAATTTTCATCTCTCTCTCTCTCTCTCTCTCTCTCTCTCTCTCTCTCTCTCTCTCTCTCTCTCTCTCTCTCTCTCTCTCTCTCTCTCTCTCTTCTCTTCTCTCTCTCTTTCTTTCTCTCTGATTATAGGGGATTTCTGTTAGTTAGTCTGTCTGCCATACAATTCAAGCTGAGAGTCACATATGTCTCTGCCTTGTTTTGGAATTTCTCCATTTGTTATATCTTCTTAATGCTTTACGATTAACTTCACTTAATGAGAATTATATCTAGTCTCCGATACGCATTATTTGGTATGCTGTGTACTGGAATCTTAAAAGATGAGATGAGAGAGAGAGAGAGAGAGAGAGAGAGAGAGAGAGAGAGAGAGAGAGAGAGAGAGAGAGAGAGAGAGAGAGAGAGAGAGAGAGAGAGAGAGAGAGAGAGAGAGAGAGAGAGAGAGGGGGGGGGGGAGAGAGACAGACAGACAGACAGACAGACGGAGAGGCAGAGAACGAGAGCCAGACAGATGAGAGAAAGAGAATGAAAGAAGAATCTGGATAAATGTTTAGAAGGGAAGCGGAGGATTACACCGTATTCTCATACTCTTACGCAATCCTCATCTGTCTTTCGTATTTTGAGTAGCACATATATAGTCAAAGGAGACGAAGATCATTTCTATCTATCTGTCTGTCCGTGTATGTCCAAATATCTATCTATTCACCCCTGTCTGATCAATATATGACCTGTATTATCTATTTTTCTGTCTGAATGTCTAATTATCTGCGTAAGCAACTATCTTCTTATTAGTTTTCTTTCTCCTCTTTCCTCTTGTTCTTTTATCTGTTTTTCTTTTTCTACCTTTCTTCTTTTATTTCTCGTTTCATTTTCTAATTAATCCATCATTAATTCGGCCATTGTCGTTATTGTCTGTCACTGATGTTCTTGTTATTTATTATTATTATCATTATTATCTGTATCAGTATTTGATTATCATCATTATCAACAATATCATGCTATTGCTGTCTTTGTTACTGTCATTATCAATATATTCTTTTTGTTTTGTCCCTATTATCATTGGTATTTTCGTTAATATCATGAAAGTTGTGATAGTAGTAACAATAATTGTTATCTCTCTTATAGTTACTATTATCATGAATTGCATGTCACTGTACATGTATGACTGCAAACACAATTTAGGGAATAAATGGGTAAAATAAGGCACGGAACATCTGATTTCCAAACATTTGTATCTTTTCGGCAGACAGCTTCTTAGTTTTGGTTATTCAATGATCTAAAAAATATCCAATATTGATTTTCTTGTTGGACACAGCGAAGTTCCGTTTGAACAATTTTGTTGTTAGGCTTATTGCATTATACTTACCTGATGACTTTATTACAGATATGCAATAGTTTCGTTACATAAAAAACGGATATTTCCAGTATATAGATACACTCTCCTTCCCAGAATTTATTTTTTTTCCGAAACTATCATAATCATATTTAGCCCTTTTTCATTTTCATCGTCATTATTAGCAATATCACCATTACTATTGTTAAATACTGAAAAATTCTTCTGTTTTGCTTTTTATCAGTATTCCTTTTCTTCAAGGTCGGTTTACACGGTGCTGTTTACGAAGCTGAACGATAGCTTCTTTCTTCGCCAACTTATCCCTCTCCCAGAGTGAATTTCAAGCTAAGGCGTAAGCGGTAAGCCGTTTGCACGATGCTGGTAAAGAGGATATATTAGCTAGTGTTTTCGAGCAGTCTCGAGCGTCAGGGTATAGCGGGAGGATGTTCCGCGAGCCGCTGTTATCCTTTGTGCAATGGCGCCCCAAGCTAGAATGTGTGATTCTGTTATGAGAAAACAGCCAAAGTAAAGAAGTGTACGCGTACGAAAGTAAATGGGCAGGCTTCAGATAATATCCTGAAGATACTACATACAGGCAGGATTTAGGCTCAGGGGACTTCAGACTAAGAACAACTCACGGGCTTACTGATTGGTTCACTGTAGAAAAAGGCGTCAGACAGGGCTGTATCTTGTCGCCACATCTATTTGATATATTCTCTGAAAAAGTAATGAGAGAGGCTCTGGCTGGCTTTAATTAAGGGAAGCATCAAAATTGGTGGCAGAACAATTACGAATCTAATTACGCTGATGATGTTGTGTTAATTGCTGGTAGTATGACTGAACTACAAGATCTTGTAAATAAAGTATGGACTTACATTAAATCCAAGTAAAACCAAGGTGATGAAAATTGTTAGAAATAAAGTTGAAAATAGAAATGATAATCACCAGATAGTGCCAAACAACACTCAGGGAATAGAGACTGTGAACACTCAGGGAATAGAGACTGTGAACACTCAGGGAATAGAGACTGAAAAACTTTATATATCTTGGAGCAATGATCACAGATGACTATGATAGTAATAAAATTAGACGCAGACTGAACATTGCCACATATGCGATGGTATCACC